CAGTTTACCACTTTCATCTGCTGGTTATCAATGGTCCGGAATTTAATTATACAATTTAAATATTTATTTTATGTTTTTTGTTAAATTTTCTAATTGTTATAAATTCAGAATATAAAAATATAAGACAAGATTTACCTATAGATTATATATACAATTTTATAACTATGCAATATTTTGTACACACAGGATAACCATAGAGTATGATGACGAAGTATTTTAGACCGATTTAATTTTGTTAGAAGTTGCTCTAGATAATATCGAACATTATGACTACAGTTCTATAATAAATTGTTGAAAGAAAATATATCCAGAAAAAGATTAAGTGTAGGAAATGGAATCAAACGTATATTGTTCATACGTATCCGAATGCATAAAGACAAAATGGTGGATAAATAAGTAATAAATAGTATTAAATTCTTTACTACATTTTTACTTTTCTATTATATGGTACAGTATTTTTTATCATTTTTTAGGATATTAAATTCTTTAGTTGACTTTTACTTTTTTATTATATCCTGCAGAAGTGTCTATCATTTTCTAGGATATTAAATTCTTGATTTTATTAAATAGAAGTTTCTATAACTTTTTAGATATTAAATCTTTACTTTCTTTTTACTTTTCTTTTATATGGTGCAGATTTTTTGATAATATTTTAGAATTTCTATTTTTGAGCTTAAGACCTAGTTTAAAAGTGTTTTTGTAGAAGGATAAATAATATTGTATGAGAGTATATGAGATTGTAAAGATGATTAAATATATAAAAGATGAGAATATGATACGTTAAAGTTTTCGTCGTTTCATTGTATAGATTCGAAATATGTGGACATAGGCGTAAAACTGACATGAATAATACTACTGAGAAAAGTCTGTAAATAAGCAATTCACGAGTCATTCATCTTGTATATTTGTATAATATTACAACATCGTTTAAATAGAGTTTATGGGTCTGAGAGACGTTCAGCTTCCGACTTTTATGATAATAAATATCGTTCTGTAGCCAAAAGGAGAATTAAAAAGTAATAAAAACGCCTTTTTCTAACTATAAATATGGTATAAACCATCGTATATAGCCGCAGGTATATAAAACTACTAACAGGTAACAGAATAAGATTCAAGTTCATTCGATACAATTAGTTTGGTATACTATCTATCAGGCATATGTTGTAACTTATTTGCTACAATCATCGTTTTTAATTGAATAAGATATATTTTCAGGTGAATTTTCGTGTACCGTCGTTAGTTTGTTGTTTAACGCTACTTTCCGCGTTAAATTTGAAAAAGCATCGTTAAATTTTTTTTGTTTTATGTGGGGATACAGTACGAATATTGGGGACAGAGATACGGTCCATCTGCATGTTGTAAGTAGTCGTATAGTTTGGACGACATATCCTAACTGATTTTCCATTAACTAATTGGTTAACTAATCTGTTATAGCAAATAGTCTGCGAAACAGCCAACATTTTTATATATTCATTTTAGAAATTGAAATTGTTTATAATGTCATTGATCATCATTCTCTCGACAGCTAAAGCAATAATCAGTAAGTATATATGTCAAATATTTTTAATATGTGGTATACTTGGGTCTTCACTTAACATTTTACTTTTCTCACGCAAAAAGTTTAGAAAAAATTCGTGCTGTACATGTAAGTATAGACTCAAATCAAATTTAAATCAGAATAAAATATGCGTTAACGTAGGTCTCCGAATAATGATTGAGAAAATCTTTAGGAAATTTTGTATGTTATATCAAAAATAACTCAGAATGTATTTTTCTTGCTTCATGAATCACGCAATACACAAAAAACTTCAGTATTTGTATGAGAGCTCTAAGTAGACTGAATTGAAACTCGAATATGTAAGTGAGGACAAGATAATCATGATATCCATGCCGACACTGGACTAAGATGACCTCAACTCCATAAACTATGACTTCTAACTGAAACAGTTCTGTTTGTTACGACAATTCTTAATAATTGCCATGCATTTATTGCAAAATTAGAACCATTTGAGAGATGGCACAATACCTTTAAGCTGGGTAACGGAAAGCTACACGTCAAGATATTCAGAAAGAGTATTTATTTCGTTACTGTATCTATACATTTCTCAAGGAGAGCATTTTATCTGAAATAGCGAGATTATTCCATAATCTTGGATCGTTATAAATATCCTTGAACTAATGAGGATTTGATAAATAATTCTTTCTTTGCCATAGATTTTCTTGGTGCATCCATAGCAATGCTTGTCGCGATGAACTTTGGACTAGTATCACGTATTATATCAGCGTATCAACCAGATCCACAGACTATAATAAATGCATTTTGTAAAGCACGTACCTATTTTGGTCAATCGAGTGTCATGTCATATCGTTGGATGTTAACTATGGCTTGCATTGATAGATATACTTCATCAACAGATAATGTTCGCCTACGCAAGTTCGCTAATCCACATGTTGCTTCTCGCGTTATATTTATCATTGTCATTGTTTGGATAATAGTACCTTTTCATAATTGGATTTTTTTAAATATCAATGGAAGCGCATGTATTTGGTCTTCCTCTTTTGTTGCAACGTATAATAGTGCTTTGGTGGTTATATTTGGTTTTATAGTTCCAACAACAGTTATGATGACATGTGCTGTGTTCATTAACAATAATCTTAGGCATATACGTAATCGTCGTCGAAATAATGTTTCTACAACAATTGAGAGTCCAGCGAATCGTTTATTCAGAGTACGTGAACGACAAACATTAATCATGTTATATGTTGAAATCATTTTTTATATAATCTTCACATTACCTTGGACAATTTTTACAGTATATAATGCACTGTCACTCTCTGTCCCAAACAAGACGAGCGATCGAATAGCTATTGAAGGATTTCTTTCATTTCTGACCGAAACTATCGCTTATTTATATCCGACTTTGTCATTTTATTTATATACATTAGCATCGCGTACATTTCGTCAAGAGTTAGTAAAAGTTAAATCTGCTATTATGAATAACCGAAATCAATGCAACAATCGTGTTCGACGTATTGTCCCGATTTAAGCGGCTAAAATAATAACTCAATCATGATCAATCAGTTTTAGTTTATAAGAGTTGATTAACCTTCAATGAATCTTTACTACTGGAAAATGAGAGACACTTGTTGTTATGTTTGTCATTACATATATGTATTTCTGAATATTTATTCAATTAGTGATGTTAAATGTTGTATTGTTCATTGAAATAAACTTCGAATAAAAATCTCAAGGGAATGATTTAAGATCAAAACTCAGATGCTCAGATATACAACAATATCATCCGTAAGAAGATCGATTATCAGATTAACGAGTGTAGATATTGGTATAGATAAAGAATAAATTATGACTAGACCATTTAATTTAATCTGGTTTAATTAACTGTTTTATTTAATATTTAAAACTAAATCATAAATATTTTGTAAAAAAATTAATATACATCTTCAGGGTGTGTTTGTGTGAGTATTCTACTCATTACACATCCACCCACACCCACGCCATTGTTATCATTATTCTATTGATAGTGGACCTAAGCAACTAAGGAGTCTAGAAGGAACTACCGATTCTCGTTATAACCAGTTATCTTAAAGTTTGAGAATAAAATGTGGGTTACCAAGAGTTCTCTAGTTCACAATTTTACTCGAAATAATTGTAAGTTTTTATAAGCCATCTAAGGGAATGTATCGATTTTGCTGTATCCTTTTGCAATAGCAAACTGTTTCATGACTAATCTATTATCGGCAGCATACGAGATGAGGGTGTGGATACTGTGTTCTTCTCCTACATACACCCACATTTTCAACTGATCCTCACCGCAATCAACATCATCATTATGATCATCACCCTTTCCATCATCATCAATATCACTATCACCGTTACCCTCAATTTTTACAGATCGCCTTTAGCTGCTTTTATCTTGGAGTATTTTTATTTTCTAACGATATTTAGGTTCAGCTCGTCTGCCTACCCGCTCGTAGTCTCTTAGTCGTCTAAGCCCCCTAAGTCCCCTTAATTCACTAGTTGTCTTAGCCTGTTAGTCTCCTCATTTCAGTTTGAAATCGACTCCATTCTTTTTTCTAAATTGAGTTTGAAATTAAATAGACCACTGTATAGGAAATTAATACTAGAAACTTTTTAAAGCAATCTCTAGTTTTAGAAGCGTCAGTAATAATAAATTCTTTAATGATTTCTTTGTTTGAAATTAATTTATTTTAACGAAAACTCATCTCTATTTCCTTCTAGTTCCGTATATTAATAATACATTTAGTAAAATTAAAGATCTCCTAAACCTGTTAATTCAATAGTCTTGTTACGAAATCAATCTAGAAATAATAGAGATGAAAACTGAACTGTTGAACAACATAAAAAAGGAAACATGAACTATAGGTGCTCTTTAATACATTTTCATGAACATTAGAGATGAGAAATCTTTTTCAATTTATCTATTTAATTACGAATTATAAATATCGAATTCAACGCATCTGTACGAACGTTAAAGATGAGAAATATACCTTCGAGCTACAGAATAGAAGAAATCTTTTTCAATTTATCTATTTAATTACAAACTATAAGCAGAATTCAAGGTATCTGTACGAACGTTAAAGATGAGTAATATACCTTTGAGCTACAGAATATAACAAAAGAACTTTTCTCCATTGTGATCATTAGATTTATCTCACTTAGTCATATAACTTACTCTGAGAAAAAAATGAAAAAATTATGATTATAATTGTAAAAAAAAATTTCTATTTGTAAACAATTATTTAAAGCGACCGTGAATCCTGTAATTCAAAATAATTACTTCATAAAATGTTCACATGTACTTTGAGTTTTTTTTCATATATATACGTATGGTTATTTGTAAAGGTAATTGTATATATTATAATAATCTTTTTTTAATGATGTAGTTCTTGATTGTTGTAGTTATATTTCTGAATAAGTTTATGAGATTGTATTTATTTCAGAGAACTTACAATTCTCTTCTTTTCTAACATAAATAGTTTATTTTGAATCGAATAATCGATTTAATATTCTAAAAATGTCATTCTCTCTTACTCTTATTCATACATGTTCTATGTCAATACTCAATTATCTAGATAATGATTGATTTAATGCATTTTTTATGATGGTTATTTATTACGTGTCATATTTATATAGTTTCTATTAATATATTCAATTTGATTTTTTTACAATCGTTTCTTTTTATAATCCTAAAATTTGCTTGTATTAATTTATTTAAAAAAATTCTTAAGAGATATATTCAATGAAAAGAATTTTAAATAATTTTTTAATATTATCGCATGAATATATCAATATAAAATTACATAATTGATTTAATCAAAGAATCATATCACGATACATGTGCATATTAATGGTCATTACAACCGTTCATTTGCTTTTATTAACTGTATCATACTTGTTCATCATTCTCCATATAGTTCTAATGAATAAGTTTTATTTTCGAAAGACATTTACAATTGAATTAATTAAATTTCAGGTTGATAAATCAATTTCAATGGTTTCTTTTACGCTCTTGTTCTAATGTGAATTGATCAAGCATGTTCCACTTCTTCTTTTTTCTTCTTTTTTCTTCTCGTCTATATTTAATATAAAGATGTGAGGATCTAAAGCGTTAGGTTAACTAACAAAGAGAGTGAGTGCAGGTAGAATCTCTTTTCATTCTGTTATAATTGTGCCAATAGACAGAATGAATGAAAAGGAAAAAAAATAAGAAAGAGTAAGCTAAGTAAGATTTTTATAAAAAAAAAAAGAACGTCTTTTTTTCCTCTTTTCCTTGCCCGTTGTATGGGCGACGATGACGACGACTACGACAATATTGCAATGTGCAACTGTGCGACTAATTTTACTTTTGAAAAAAAAAGAAAAATGAACTCACCGACAATAAATATCAACATATGAAACCTTAGGTAAATGCTTTATTTCTTTAGTTTAACTTGTTTTTTTTCTAAAAAGTTATCAAACTATACTGAATAACGATATTTATCATTTATTTGATCATAATATCATACGAATAATGTTTAAAGATATTGAATGAAGCCTACCAAAGAAGTTACCCTGCTACTACTAGTATACCTGACAAGCTGCCGGGTATTGAATTTGTTTAAAGTACTTAGAAGTATTTCGTCAAGTATCCTATTGAAATATATTCGGTCGCTGGATATTTGATAATATTGCATATATATATGAAGTTAGGTACCAGTATATAATACTGTTAAAAATCTTATTAGAAATATGATTCTGATAATTTATTATTAAATTTTGTGACACAATAAAGTCAATAGTTCCAGTTTTTTTCTGACATATAAATATTAACAATAGTAGCACTGAAATTTGATATATAAAATTGGAAATAATTAAAAGATAAAAATTATGTTCATAAAAAGGTTAATGAAATGAGCATTCTCAGTAAGAATATTGATAGTAGTACTAGTATTAATATATTTTCTCTAGGATCGAACATAAAACTTTTCTTTCACTAGTAGAAAAAAATGGTAGTAATAAAAGAATATCTTTTATTCTCTTATTCACACATGAACTAAGTAGAATTACTCAATTGAGAAATATAATACTTCATAAAAGCATCTCGTCACGTTATATACTATGAAAAAGTTGTTAGCGTTAAATTCTAATGATTGTTCGTAGCAGCAAAATAACTGACTCATCGTAGTTAGAAACAACTATGATTTATATACTTAAGAAAGAATGAAAGAAGGTCAATATTGTTCATAAAAATAGAGAATAATTTAACGAATCCAAAGGATAGATTTATAGTCTGATATAAAATTTTGTAGAATAAAAAGTAAGTTATAATATTTCGTATTGTATTTATTACTTAAAATAATCAAAAATTTCGAGTTCTTTCTCTGATATTATAAGCTTTGGTTATCAGTAGAATTTTATTCAAAGTTTTTTTTTCTTCTTAAGATTAAAGTTCGTAAATATTGTTATTTACTATGAAAGAAATTCGATCTGGTATGAAGTAAGAAAAATCGATGTAAAATATTCTTTAGACAATTTAAGAACATGACAAAAAGGAATAAAAAAAAACTTTATATATGATATTATTCTGATGTACGTAGAGTAAAATAGTTAGTCTAGACGCTGAAACAAACTCCATGGAAACCTTATGAGAGTATCGAATCAGAAAATTCTTAACAAAATTAAAAGTATTGTAATTTTGAAAATTTCCTCTATGTACATCAATATAATATTATACATAAAATTTATCTTTATTGTTTATTCAATCAAGGTGAAGTGTACATAATAAAATCTCTCATTTATGACTCAACCTATATAAAATATTCCTATACTCAATTTTTCGATCAAATAATTATAAGAATTGTCAGATATACTAACAACAATATTACTGTATAGAATTTTAGTCTTACATTAATGTTAGAAAAATAAAGGAATTGAAAAAATTGTATGCGATACGAGGCCGATTTCAGACAAAAAATCCGCTATATTGAACTTTATTGATAATCAAATGATGTATCTATACAAGTTTAATGATTGTAATATGATATTTGAAATAAAAACCGCACAGAGTAAATTTTCAAATTTTATATACCTTCTATTTGTATTATAATGAAAAGTCAATAAATTAATTTTTTATTTTAGTCATGTTTGAAGAATATTATTAGTAAAATATAAGAACAACAATGTATTTTCGCCCATTTCGTTTATTTAAATTAATCGTTACATTTATTTGTGTGAATATTGTTATCTATGAACTTTATCGTTTATTAATCCATTCCAAAACTAGTTCATCTTTAACTAATGAAAATGATGATTTATCATTAATATTAAAACCAACAAAAAATAATCTTGATCAAATATCTTATTCTCTTCAACCATTTTATATTCGATTACCAAATTTTTCTGATGATGAAGCAAAAAATTGGTTTTATAGTTCATCTTATTATAAAATTCATTCAAAAAAATGTCCACAAGGTTTATGTGAAGAAAAAGGTATTTTATTTAATGATACAAAAGAACATCTATCTGTTAATGTTTTTCTTGTTAAAAATGGTCTTTATATCAATGATGACTGTGGTTATAATTATGGAACTAATGCAGTTAAACGTAGATTTGTAAGTGCTGATGAAACAACTGTTATTTATGATAAAGCAATTATTTATACTGTTCCAGATGGTTGGGCTTTTCAACATTTTCTTGATGGTGTTGGTCCGAAATTAGCTCATTCAAAATCTTATTTAAAAAAATATCCCGATGCAAAAGTTATTATTTTAAAAGGTGTTCGATTTGATCGATCTGTTCAAGAAATTTGGTCTATGTTAGGTTTGTTTTTAAATCTTAATGAATATCTTAGAGAAGATTAATATATTTGTTCTTTTTTCGTAGGAGTAGAAAATTCTGAACGAATAATTCATTATACTTCAAATATGAAAGTTGGTGCTCATCTTTTAATAAATCCATGTGTTACTCCTGGTATTCATCCTCGTTTATGGCAAGATGCACGTTCTATGTATTGGTCAATATCTGGTATACCTAATGAAAAAACCGAAGTAAAAAAAAGGAATCTAATATATATTCAACGAACATCAACAAATGCAATGAATAGTGCACGTCTTATATTAAATGAAGAACCATTTATAAAAATTTTACGTGATTATTGTTTAAAAAATTCATTAAATTATGTTCAATATGATCATTCAAAAGATACAGGTCATATTCGATCACGTATAGAACTTTTTTATAATGCTAAAATAATCATTGGTGTTCATAGTGGTGCATTATCAAATATGAATTTTGCACAATCAGGAACAATTGTTATTGAAATAATGCCATTTAGACAAGAATCAAGTGTATTACCAATGACTTGTTCAATGTTTCGACCTGAAGATATTAAAGCATGTGCTGGGTATATTTTATATACTCAAGCACAATTACTTAATCAATCTTATTGGATATTACCAAATGTTGTTAATGTTGATGGCAATATTAATCTCAATATATCTCGAGTAGAAAAACTTTTTGATAAAATTTAATCTCTTTGAATTTGTTTAAATATGTGATAATTATATCCTGAGATTTTATAATAATGAATATCATAATATGAATATTTATTTGACAAATGTATCGCTTATTATTATTTTGTGTCTTGTTTTTTTTAGTTCAATTAATAAAATGAATATTTTTCTTATAAAATGTAATAGAATTATTTGAATTCAAAGATTTCATTGATAACAACAGAGGTTTTTCAAGGGAAATAATTAGTCAGTTTATGAGTCATATATCTTGTTCTACCTTCTTAAGCTGCGATGGCCGAGTGGTTAAGGCGTCTGACTCGAAATCAGATGGGTTCTCCCGCGTAGGTTCGAATCCTACTCGCAGCGTTTCTTTTTTTACCTTTATTATTTAATTTTATTAACTTTAATATATTACACATATGATTAAAAAAATATTTGTTGAGAATCTTTTAAATTCATCTCATATAATAATATCTATCTCATAAACAATAACAACAGCTATATAACACTGATGTACTTCATTTAGCCATTTTCATTCTGAACATTTGAGAAAACACGTAAAGAATGAATTTCAAAGTAAACAAATATTATAGGTATAAGAAAAAGAATCTTCAAAAGAAAATTTTATTTCTTAGATGTCGCTACTGTTTTAATTTAATAAATATATTGTATTTATTTTTTGTATTTTAAATATTTCTAAAAGAAAAATAATTTATTTTTATATAGAAAAAATGAATATTTAAAATAAGTTGAATAAGAAAAATTAAGAGAGGTTTTCTCCGAGTGACACAAATGAATATGGTTGTCTAAGTAAAATTTTCATTAACACGTGCATCTATTTCTGTTTGTAAGATCAAATGGCAGCAGTATCAACATTAGCCGCAAGTATGGATGGTGGTGGTGGTGGTGGTTTTAATGCCAGTGGAACTGGTGGTATAGAAATGGCTAAAGCATTATCAACTATGCAATTACGTAACGAACAATTTCGTCAATTATATGAACAACTTAAACAAGAATATGCAACATTATCTGATGCATATACTGATTGTCAACGAACATTAGAAAAATCTACAGAAGAAAATCGTCAAATGCAAGAAAAATTTAAAAATCTACTTGATAAATTACAAATGGATAATAGAAAGAAACAAACACAAATTGAAGAAATGAAAACACAGGTTTTTATTTTTTATTTTAATCTTTTCTTTGTTAATTTTATATATTTAGTTACTTGACAATAGTAAAATTGATCAAATTCGTGATCGTTTATCTTCAGAAGTTGAAGGTCCATATAAATTAGCTTTATCACAATTAGGTAGTCAATTAGAACAAACTAAAAGTGAATTAACCAAAGTTCGTTTTGAATTAAATGCTCGAATAAAAGAACATACATCTGAATTATCTCAACGAGATCAAATAGCTGAAGAAATTCAATTAAAAACTGAAAAAGAATTAGGAGCATTAAGAAAAGAACGTGATCTTCTTCAACAACATATTCGTCAAGAACATCAAAAAGATTCAAACATTGAACAAAATCGTTCAAGAGAAATAATACAATTAAAAGCTAAAGTTGAACAGTACACTCAAGAATTAAATGAAGCAAGAGAAGTTAAACTTCATGCTGAACAAATTGCTGCAGCTGCACAAAGAGAATTATTAAAAGAACGTTCCGTATCAAAAACTAGTTCATCTCTAGTTGAAGTAAATAGATTTTATTTTTACAATGATTTCAGATTTTTTTCATTTTTTATTTCAATAGAATGAACGAGATTCATTGAGACAACAACTAACAAAAACTCATCATGAATTAACATCAACTAGTGATCAATTAGCTACAATTAATCGACAATTACATGAACGAGATCTTCGAATTTCACAAATCAATTCAGAATATGAAAATATTCAACATCGATATAAACTTGAAGTTGCAAATCATAAAATTGATTTAGCTAAAGTACAAAGAGATCAATTAGAACAACAAGAACAATTAAAAATACATATTCAAGGTGAGTCGTTTTTAATCACATCGAAAATAATAATAGTTGAACTAAATTCAGAAATAAGTGAATGATTTTTAAAGTCTTTCTGTATTTATAGTTTCATTTGTTTTTATCCATATAGAGGTGAATAAGCTATGAGTAAAGAACAAAAGCTACTAATATCTCAACATGCAAGTTCAAATAATGTATGCCCAAGGGGTAAAAGTAGAAAAAGAATTCGAAGTCAGAATGACGTCAGATTCTTTTTCTGCTTTCACCCCCTTATTCATGTCACTAACAAATACTCTTTGGGTTAGAGAAAGCTGTAAAGTTTAGTTCTATGGGATCAGTTCCAGTACAGATATTTGTTACATTCTCCCCAATGATCAATGTGTAATGATAATTCGTTAATCTATGATGACTTCAGGGAACTGAACTGTAACAGTGAAGTTATATAATTTAAAATTTTCTTTAGAATTAGAAGAAAAAATTGGATTATTGAGTTCGGATAAAGCCAAATTACAACTGGTGATTCAGGAAAAGGAACATCATTTACTCACAAGTGTTCAAGCAGCTCGAGAAGATGAATGGAAAAAAATTAGTGAAATAACTAATGAAAAGTAAGATACAACTTTTATCTTCTGTTATTTAGTACTTTTTTGTTCGATTTTAAAGACTTAATTTCGAAACTGAAGTAAATATTTTAAAAAAATCAAATGATGAACGACAAAAACAATTTGAAATTGAACGTGATCGTTTATATGAACAAGTGAAAAGTTTAGAAAAAATTCGTGATGAATTAACTAAAGAAAATACATATTTAAATACAACGATTAAACAAGGCACTGATTGTCAAAATGATCTTGAACGTGAACAAGAAAAATCTCGTGAACTTTATAGAAAATGTATTAAACTTGAAACTCAACTTTCTTCAACAAATGGAATTGAAGTAATTTCACAAAATTTCGTTTTTTTTTCCATAATAAAAATTTCTTCTTTTCAGCAAGAATTAACCGAAATAAATTTAAAATTAAAAAATGAATTGAATCAATTAATGAATGAATATCATTCAAATAAACAAGAAGTTCAACAGGTTAGTTTTAATATTAAATTTAAAAAAATAATTCATTTTTTGCTTCATTAGATGAATAATCAATGTACAACAACAATTGAAAATGCACGTCGAGCATTTTTTACTGATAGAAAAGATATGGAAATTAAAATTGAACAATTAGTTGAACAATTAAAAAAATATAAGAAGAAAATACTTGAATTACAAAAAGAAAAAAAAGATTATCGATCACGTTATCAAAATTTTTCACAAAAATTAGTTGAAAAAAGTCAATTAATTGAAGCTAAACTGAATGAAATTAAACAAAAAGAATTAAGTTTACAGTAAGAAAATCTTAATCTGAAAAGAATTTTCATTGGATAAATTGTTTATGTGACAAAATATTTCTTATTTTATAGAAATGTGGTTAGTCTTCAAACACATAATCAATTAAAACGTCAATTATCACAATTATTAAAAAAACATGCACAATTTCAAACAGTTCTTGATGTGAATAATACAAATCAATCATCGATACCATCAGATGTAACTTTTTTTTTAAAGAATGCATATGTATGTATACAATTAAGAAAATTTATTTTTTAAAATAGGATAAATATGATCTTAATTCAATGTTAAATCGTCTTGATCGTTTATCATACGAACAGAACCATCAATTGAATGATTTTATTCCAAGTAATGATTTGTTTATTTTTTTATTATTTAAAATTTTCATGTAATTATATATATTTTTTGTAGTGAAAGAGTCTTCAGTTACTCTTTCAAATCAACATGAATTATCTTCTTCTTCTACATCAAATAAACGACAAACAGTTCAATTTGAAGAAGATAATTAAATGAAGAATTTTATTCTTCATTCAACGAACTATTTATATTTCAATACAGATATGTTTTGTCAATTTGCTTTACAATTCTCTATTGCCCAATGTTATGAACATTTTAGATAGATTATCTTTATTATATACATATATATTTAATGTAGTTAATTATGATTGTATTTAGTAGATCATACTATTTTGTTTAATTGGGCTTGTTTTTGTTCCTTTATAAACATCTTTATGAATTTAATATCGATAATAAATAGTTTATTTCATTCAATCATACAAAGAATATTTTAGTTAGAAAATTTTAAAGAATAATCACTTATTTATGTCTTAGGAACGACATTGACTCTTTTTCATCTGCATCGAATTACTAAAGAAGGTGTGGGTGTGTAAGTGTAGATGTGGATGAATGTGGTCGATCGACGAATCAAATGCTCACAGCCATAGCTACAGCCACGCACACACACCCTCAAAAGTTTCAACTAGGAAACATGATTTCGTCGAAAGTAAATATGCCATCTTTTCTCTGAAGCGGTGCCTGTGAAAAAGAACAATTTATTGGCAAACTAAAACTCGATTAGAGTCTTCCAAAAGATACGCAGAGAATCGAAGAATTAGCTAAGTATGTTTATTAAAAATAAAAAAAAATTATACTAACTATCATTAATGATAATCAGAAAGCGAACGAATTAACAGTCGGACTGTTCCGAAGTAAAAAGTGTACAAAGAAAATAACAAGTGCCATCTTCTTTTCAGTTACACAGTTAAATATAAAAATGAGAATATCAATAATTCTCATAGAGAAAAAAGATAAAAAAGATTATCTGCACAAGGAAGTAATATCAGAACGTTCTCTATACTGTTTACGAGCGTGACAATCCATAGGAATCCAACTCTTTTCAAAATTGTTTAACCATGAACCAAATTGTGTACAAATAAACGTAAAAAGCCAGGAGGATGCTGTTCTCTTGCTGAATATGGACTTACCGTATGCCGACCACTAAAACCGAGACGACTTCCATTAGCCATGACACGCGGTCCATGAAATTGATGAAATCCACCATTAGCAGAATGAAGAAGTTGCTCATTCTGTTGATTGACATAACTTTGCATTTCAACAGCGACACGGTGATAATGTGCAGCTGTATTAGTATTCATTCCAGTAATTGGGTGATGCATCTTTGAGTGTTTGTTATTGCCGATGATCGATGAGTAAGTATGTTTGATCGAAGTAAAAAATTTGTGAAATGAGAGCAGTCGTTAGAAATGAAGCATGATAAAATACGTGTAATAACGATTAATTTCATAAATTTGTCATAGGTAATTTCCATCGTGACTCATTTCTAAGTTGGCAGAATAAAAAAAACCCTTTTTCCACTTGTATTCACAAAGAGTACGAATAATAAGATAAAATCGACAATATTTGCTCATTCTTCCTTATACTTTCATAAAGCATGCTGCAATGTGAATATCGTCCAAAACCGCATCATTACTGGTTTGTGATGAGTCATTAAAACAAAATAATCTTCAATCAAGCGTGTCTTTTTCTTGTTTTCGTTCTATACTTCCTCCCAATACATATCAAAACATGATAATGCAAGTTGGAATTTTCCCGAAAAGTATAGAATAAATTAGTTAAAAACAACACGGGTATCGGGCAAGAGACCATCCTCGGTTATGGCCAGTCAAAATTTAGTTGAATAGTTAAATTCAACTTTTAAATATTTCATACAATGTGAAATAACTACCGTTAAGATTTGATGAGTGAGAATGAAGAGAGCATACTAACACACTTACACCTTTGCCTTTGATAGTCCTCTACATTCTACTTTCATCTACACTGCATCAACATTCATAAATGTAATTAATAAAAATAATTGTTAGGTTTCCATTTCAAGCGCGTATGGCATATTCACACATAAGGAATAATAGACAAAAGAAAAATATAAAAAAAGTGCATTTGACATTAATATATTATACTGTTTACTATTTTTTATTAGAAATGTAATGAAATCGTCACATCATTCTCTCACAAATACGGTGAATTGTTTTCATTATATTTCTATTAGAAAATATTTTAATTTAGAAATCTTCCGCTACGACAAAAAACACTCGATCTGTTCAAGTCATTTATATAACTATTCGATCAAAAAAATATGTTAATGCTGAAGATAATAAATCAGATCATCGTTTATTAGCACAAGTGAGCAGAAATTATCGAATGAAACAAAAGTAATTAAAATTTTTTTTGTCGAATAGCCATCACAAAAAGATCCCTGTATTTTAACATTATGGTGAGGATATATTGACTTTGTTTCTCAGCCACATTTCTTAAAGCAAAAGTTATCTATTAATAGTCGGCAAGATCTCAATCGGATCGTAATGGTACAATTGAAGATATGTGGAAAGAATCAAACAAGAAAAAAAGACGGAAGTAAGTTATTTTTCTCTTCCTTTTCATATAGATACTTTTATTTGTTCTTGTTGTAGTCGTATCAGACTTGGAACCGGTCCAGTT